TGTTTGTACATAATATGTTAGAAGCAGAATAAAAGTATTAATAGAAGCTGAAACTAGTCTTGTCATCCGAACCTGATAAAAGAACTAATACTGTCACATGACTTTATTTTGATCTATGCTTGTAACTATGTATCCAGCTTGATATAAAACTGTAGAAACCGTACTATTGTTCCTGTTATCTTGTTTGTTAATCTAATCATACAATATTTTGAGACTGAAAACGTGGGATGTGAGAGTGACATTTAAAGATACGTCTTAGCAGCGGAGATAAAAATATATACACAACGTGAGCCATAAGAAGAGAAATTACACCTATAACTAGATTCAATACTAGACGATCACGCGTTGGATGTGGGGAGTTTTTAACAGTTAAGCTTTCCAGATCTAACAAGCGACTCATTGAACTGCGTCGTATGACATATTTGATTTGGTTGCCGAACTGTGCCTTATGCTACACGACCGCTAAAGATACCCCCGTCGCCCCATGTAAAATTGTATGATCCCGTCAACTACAAGGAAATGTGTATAGACGACTAAGTTCTAGTTGTTGAAATGGTTCATGTCCAGATCGGATTTACAACCAGTTAAAGTGGGGAAAGAATAAACCAGAAAACCCATCCACATCCAAGAATCATTACACGTTAAGCATCACACCGAAAGCGTGGACGTCCGAAGTAAAACAAGCAGTGTGGGTCATAATGGAAATGTGCCGTGAATGCCTCACGTTACACTGGGAACGGAGAGGAATAAAAAGAATATCAAAGCGAACCAAGCTGAATGACTCCACCGCATGACCATGATCTAATTGGTAAGCTGTACAGTCGCTATGACACAGACCGCCATTAGTATGCATCATTTCCGGTTGTCTGTTATTCCAAGTTCTGATCAATCAATAATCAATACATAAACTGACCTTGAACTCCCACACTGTTTATAGAATTGATAGATGAGGGTTAAAACAAATATTATGTCAGAGAGAGAGAAAAAGAGAGAGAGACGGGTATTAATTTCGGGACTAACATATGATACAATGTTTTTAAATAATTCGCTTGTTTGTGAGTAGCGACCTTTTAGCAGTGGGAGGGAACCGGAGGAACCAGAGAAAACCCACGGGGTTAGACAAGCCATCCTACACTAGACACGTGCAATAAACACTGGTTTTATAAATTGATCGATCTCCTGTAAGTCGTTGATCGATATCAACAATGGAGTAGAGATATTTGATATAATCTTCGTTATTTGTCCAATATAGATATACTTCCCAGAACTGTTCCACGAGGTTAGATAGTTTAGACCTTTTATTGTGTAATGTAAAACCTGATAAACGCGACAATTAGACTGCTTCATAGAGTCTGGTTGAAGCCTTCAACCAGACTCTACCCCGGCTGTCAGTTTCAAAATATATAGGAGAAATGGGGTTTAACGTCCACTCGACACAAATCAAGTCATTTCGGTACTACGATAAGGTTCAATTTTATTCCAATAATTCGCTTGCGCGTAGGGGTCTATAGTAGTGGGAGGAAACCGGGGGACCCGGAGAAAACCCGCGAGGAGGGGCGACCCTACTTCTTGTCAGGTAAACCCGCTGTCAGTTTCAAAGCTGGTGGTCCATCCAAGTAAAATTGACCGTTTGTTTACCTTCGAACAGATAGCTGTGTAGTTCCAGAATAAAGTCTTTTAATCGAATGGTCTTTTATACTGACTAGCCAAGTACTTTATATCTGGTGCGATTTATTTAAACGCTGGACCGAACCCTCGCCACCGCCATTGCAATTACCAGGCTACACCACTCGATGTCAATTCAACTGACAGCTTATTAAGGAGCCATCGTCTTGTTATGGTATTAGTAGATGAATTTAATTTGGAGCCCGAGGTGCAGTAGTATGGTTATATGAAAGGTGCATGGCCAATCTACTAAACCAAATGGGATATACATGTCCAATTTAACAAATTGAAGTGGAAAATTAAAAGCACGGTAATTAATATCACGGTAATAAGAAGGAATGGAGGACAGTGAGCATCCATTACTGGCTGATCAATAGAAGAAATACAGGATATATCGATTTGACTGGATAATTAAATCATATAAACATCGTATCCTAGTCACAACAAGACAATAAATCATATATAAGAACATATATTTATTATTTATTCTCCGGGACAACGTAACAATAAAACTAAGACATTAATTAATTTCTTCAGTCCAGTTCATGGATAAGCTCTGTTACATTCTGGATGTATCATACGGTCTGTCATTGAGTCAACCAGCGGGTTTTCGATTCCCCGGTTGTACGTGACAAGGAGTAAGGTCGCCTGTCCAACCTCCTGGGTTTTCTCCGGGTCCTCCGGTTTCCTCCCACTGCTAAAGACCCCTACGCGCAAGCGAATTATTGAAATAAAATTGAACCATGTGTTAGTCCCGAAATGACCTAGTTTGTGTCGAGTGGATGTTAAACCACATTTTAAACAATTATTACTGTTTTGTAATGGCCCCCATATTAAACAATTCGTATACTGTTTTGTAATGGATTGTTCTGATCCGTTAACATCTTTTACACAAATGTTTAATTTTATTAATGGAAGTAGATTTAATACTCCTCAACATTTTCGAAATATAATTAGTATTTCGACTCAAATCGTGGATTAAAGATATATTATAGGAGATTAGATAAAGAGCTGGTAGTTCTCACTATAATAGTTAAAAACTAGATAATGTAATGGGAATTTGCTGAAAATTTCTGTCAAATTGATCCACTATGAACCGAGATTTTAGCGATTGAATTTTCGGCCTAGCCTCGATCATCATTACTAAAGTATGCAGGATGAAATCATAGTCTCGATTAACCATTTCATGATTTAATTATGAATTGAAGTCGAACAGCAAATCGGAACATAATCCAATAAACATCGTAGGCTAGCGATGCCATCTAGAATTGATTATGGTCTGGATAACTTAATTAATGTCTAATTAATAATTTAGAAAACATTTCAGGTTGAAAGAAATAACTGCAATAGGCAGATTTAGCTCTTGCATAATGTATGTTTAATATAATTAATACAATGACGTCATTATTAATGTGACGTCATAATGTATGTTTAAGGATTTGGAATGTCGGTCAATTAGCTTCCTGTCTGCTCTCAAGCGGAACTAGACAGGCATCGTAAGTTTCGTATGGCTTTCTTAGTCAAGATTCCAACCGAATGATTAAGACTTTTTTTTAAAAATTTGGTTGTTAAATGAAGGTATCGATTTAATTCATTTCGGTGAATTGGTTTATTCTGAGATTTGTAAATTAGATAGAACCGGTCTTGTGATTGAAGTAAATTTGTACCGTTAATATTTAACAGCTGACACTTTTAAGACACAATATTAGAAGTAAAATAAAATGGGGTTTAACATCCTACCGTTCTACACCAACTGGTTGAATGAAGGTTGGATTACATCATGCAGTGTGCTGTGAGCAATATGTCGACCCGGGCAGTGATGTTGCTACCTTCTCTTCATCGAGTTCAAACTTATAAAATGGACCTCGGGTTTTAGTCCCATCCAAACAAGACCCTGTTCCAAGAAAGCCGCCTATCGTTCACACGGGACCTCGGTTTTTAGTACCATCCGAACGACTATAAGCTGTTCCATGAAAGCCGCCTATCGTTAACAGGGGACCTCGATTTTTCGTCCCATCCCAACGACTAGACGCTGTTCCGTGAAACCCATCCTTCCTGCACACGGGACTTCAGTTTTTCGTCCCATTCCAACGACTAGACGTTGTTCCATGAAAGCCATCCTCCCTGAACAGGAGACCTCGTGTTTTTGACCCATCCCAACAACTACTGCACCCCTAAAAGGGGAAACCAGGCTGGAAAATCTCTTAGAACATACTTGGGCAAAACAGGGATCGAATAAGGGACTTACTGGTTACTGATTTGGGACCTTACTCACTGAACAACCGCGGCTCCCACACTAACTGACAAATGTAGATTTGATTTTCAGAACATATACAATACTCTTACCAAAAAACAATATTACTGAAATATTAGATGTAGTCTACAACACACAAATAACGAAATGAAATGAAATAATGAAATGGAGTTTAACGTCCTACTGTTCTGCTCCGAACTGGGCTAATGAAGACGGGCATACAGTGTGCTATGAGGGAAATTTTGCCCGGACAGCGGCACTACGGCCTACTCTCATATCTCATATCGAATTCCAACTGTCAAGGGATCTTTTACGTGCACGCCAATGTGTACACGGGACCTCGGTTTTTCGTCCCATCCGAACGACTAGACAGTTGTCTTTGCATCACTGACAAGGGGGAATCACGCCGGAAACACAAATTACGATCAATGTTGTTTTTATACATTTACGATTAGAGACAATCAAAATATTTTAAGTAACTGTCAGTCCTACTCCTAAATCTTAGGAAATAGAAAAGTAATTCGTAATACCAAGACCCCTCCAAAACAAGTTCAAACAAAACGTAGGCAATGGACAAAGACAATACAAGACACCAATGCCAGGATGTGAAACAGCAACTTTCAAACCTATGACACACACTTCTTTGCTTAAAGCCAAACATTTGACCCCCCACCCCTCCTCAAAATTTTTGTTGATACCCCCGCTATTTAGTGACGTTCGACGACCCTAGGACCCCAAACAATTTATACACCCGCTCAGTGGAGACTTCAGCGAACCTGCTATCCTAAATATTTGACACCCACACTCGCCCTATGGAGACATCAGCGAACCTACGATCCCAAATATTTGACATCCACACCCGCCCTATGGAGACCTTCAGCGAACCTTCAATCCCACCCTCCGCTCTATGGAGACTTTCGGCCGATCAACATGATATATAATGAACTATTCCTTATATAATTCTCCAAGACAATGATGACGTCCCCAAAATTGGCGACACAATGCCGCACAGAAATCCGGGCAAACCCCTGTACCCATTTTGTTATACCAATATAATATGTGAAAGTATTTGTTTACATACCGTTGTGTGCATGTTTCTTACTCTAACTAGAGATCTCTATTGCTCATCTACATAACAGCTCATTTACCCCTGCTAACATCTGGTTAGTCCGTGTACACAATCCTTTACTAATAAATACACACGATTAACCAGCCCTGAAGACGCGGTGAAAAATCAATACACAATCATGATAACAAGTCTCAATGATCTGGACTAGTTATCGATTGGTCGATGGATGGATAAAACTAGACCAGGTTAGTCAAGTCATCAATCTCTGACACACTGCATCGTGTTATAAACCCGTTACCTAGAAGGTCGAGGCTACAATCTCATGCAAATGGCGGGAAATCGATTAACGTCTTCCTGACAACGTGTCACGTGATTTGTGTGAGGAATGAGATGAAATAGGAGGATAAGGGTGATTGATAGTGGATCAGTCACGAAGAGAATTTGTATTGGATTTATTTAAACAAACAATCAATGATAATTGATGATAATTGAGCTGTCGTTTAGCTTTATGTCTGGAATAACATGGATCATAGCACTAGACTACCCGGGGGGGGGGGGGGGGGTCTTAAATATAGTGTTAAATTTGTTACCGTCCACCAAGACCGTGGGACTTCAGAATAAAAGTTCAAACAATTGCTCAAATTAATCAGAGTACACGAGAGACAGTTCTGTTAAACAACCTACTATTACTGTTTATACGGAATGTATGTGTGGGTGTGTGTGTGTGAGAGACAGGAAGGGAGAGAGATGGAGTGAAAGAGAGAGAGAGATGTGGTTTAACGTCCACTCGACGCAAACAAGGTCATTTCGGGACTAACACATGGTTCAATATTATTACATTAATTCGCTTGCGCGTAGGGGTCTTTAGCAGTGGGAGAAAACCGGAGGACCCGGAGAAAACCCACGAGGTTGGGCAAGCGACCCTACTCCTGGTCACGTACAAGAGGGGAATCGAAACTACGCCACTTGACTCAATGACACACCTTATGAAGCAATGCCATTCGGCCACCCCTATACTGAATGATGTTTCAACTAGGATTCTCTAGTTATTATCAAACTACGATACATTTATATAAACATTGATTAACATTGCTTGTTATAGAATAGAATCTTCACTGAGTAATTTACATACAACTTCATAACAACTATTGTGTGTTACAAGAAATACAAAGGTGGCAATTCATTATCAGGTTGTAATCATGGTTATCTTTCACCTGGGCAGCGCCTCTGTAATCCTGCTGAAGATTATTTTATTTATTGTATTATTCATAATAGCAGGTTAGGCTTCCAATAAAGCCTAAGGCTTCGCCAATTAATGTACGATTCAATATCTACATGCATGTTGGACTTGTATTTAAAGGACAATGTTGGTGTCCATCAACATTACATGACAGAACTGGTTAAACACATTCCAAATATATATTTAACACGGACATCTTAGATGTATTGCGATTTGTATCCATGTAAGACATCGTAGTTACAGTTGATCCGTAACAAAGATTTGAATCATCGGAGATGTTTAACCAGTTCTATTGCAATATTTTCCTTTATATTCGAAATTAAAAACACGAATCAGAATTCAATATTGATCTTTTTCAGTCAATATTGATGTTGTTATCTTGCCGTGGAACTATAGGATCCTAATATCCAATATTTAAAGTAGCTAAGTCTCTAACTCAATATCATCAAAAATCTTCGACATTGAAAACACGAATTATTTGTCAATTTAAATCAACATTGGTCTTGTGATCTTACCTGGAAAAGATGGCCTTCTGATATCAAATATTTAAGACAAAATAAACATTTTACAATTGGTAGACGAATCGTGTACCATAATACGTTTCAACGCTATTTGTAATAAGGGACTCTAAAAACGAGGCTAGGCATATTCCACAAGTCATGTCAAACGGTGACGCTATATTCTTATCTGGAGAGCATGCCCAATAAATACTATCGGCGTAGACAGGAAAAACCAGACGCTAGAGATTGAAATTCGATTGAGAATGCTGGCGTATTTCGCCGAACCTAACTGATTAGAAATTACAGTAAAAACAGAAACGATTGAATGTAAATCAATTTATATACATTCACATTACATTATTATATGCGTTGCGACCCATTTGTGTCAATTTCTAGGTTCAAAATATTAGCAATTTAGCTCCTTTAAGACACATTGAACATTTTATAATCAGTACACGAGTCGTGTACTCTATGCAGTTTTGGGTGCCATTTTGTAAAAAACATATCCTACAACACAATTTGGAAGTACCTAGTAAAGGCTGATTCATAAACGACAAAATATTAATTTAAAATATGTGTAGAATGCACTAAGCAGGCGTAAACGACTGTCGTTCAATTTGAACTGTTCACGTATTTCACAGAACATAATTGATTAGAAATTACAATATTTTTTTCAAAAATTGAATATAAATCACTACATATATTCATATTACATTGATATGTGCTTTTAGAACCATTATTGTCTATTTCAAGGTTCCAAAAAATAGAGCCATACGCCCTTTAATTTATGTTCTATATTTAGTAGTGCACACGTGAGCACTTAGTGATGCGCTATAAAAAGTGTGTGATAATAAAATGGTGACTGGGTGATATCGTATACATCATAGTATAAATACCGTCTTACTGTCAATATGGTATTAAACATACTTTACTGTCGCAGAAAGCTTTTAATATCTGATGTTACGACGACGCGTAGAGGATTGCGGTTAAAAATAATAAGTCACGTTAAAAGTGTGTTAATTCTCTTCTAAAAACCTCCAGAGGTGTCCTTGAATCAGTTGCGCTGCTAAGATTTGTGATGTGTGACAAAGTGATCTTTATACTTTTCATCAAATTGAACGATCATTTAGGTGCATAGAACTTCATGAACTGGGCTAGATTTGACAATATATGATATTGACGATTCACCTCTGTATAAAATTCGATTTTCTCTCTGACCACAATCGGCCCACCCCTCCACCAGTTTATAATATCGATTATTTTGATTAATCAATAATTTGTTCTAAAGTGTCGCTGTGTTCCAGAATTGTGGATGTCCTCTGGTTCTAGGTTGTGCACTAAATGATCGCTTTTCGGCTCGAATTCGCGGAAGAGACGGCGAAGAAAAACAGTGCTGGTAGGATTTATTGTCTTGGTAACCAAATTATCAGATGTTAGTCTCAAAAGGAATCAATCATATCTCGTGGGTTTGGGATGTTACTCTCCATTTGGATCCTTTAAAAAACATGTAAACAAAACATAATTAAAGAACCTTTAATATAACCCAGTAAAAAATATACATTCTAATTATACAATGATATTAATACTAATTAGTATCAAAATAACTAGTTTATATATAATATATGACGACGATATTAATACTAAACGACGATATTAATACTAATAACTAGTTTATATGACGACGATATTAATACTAAACGACGATATTAATACTAATTAGTATCAAAATAACTAATATATATATAATATATGACGACGATATTAATACTAAACGACGATATTAATACTAATAACTAGTTTATATGACGTCGATATTAATACTAGTTTATATCAAAATAACTAGTTTATATGACGACGATATTAATACTAATCAGTATCAAAATAACTAGTTTATATAATATATGACACGATATTAATACTAGTTTATATCAAAAGAATTCTTCACACAGCCACCGGCCGTCCGTAGGCCTAACATTTCCTTGTATTTGACGGTCCTATGCTCTACCACTGAGCTAATACACCGCTCTATTGGTTCAAAATATACGAAGTAATCTTTATCTGTAAATACTGTGGTTATGAATAGACTCGTCCTTTAATAAATTATATAATTCAAGTCAGTCCGGAAGTGATGATGCTAATTGATTCAACAATAAAAACAATAAAAATATCCCAAGAATTAAAAACTGTCGATTGTAGCAAATATTCATTTGGATGGAAGTTTGAAATACTAACACACACAAGAGTCTTAGTTTGTTACAGAAACGTCACTTCCGACCATTATAAAAAGACCCACTGTAACGATTTTACAGAATCCATACTAAATAACGTCAGTCGGGGGGGGGGGGGCGGGTCTAAAAGAAGTTCGACTATCATTTTGATGATAGCCATACTAATCACATCACTCTCTGTCGAAAATCAAAATGTCATATGTTCTTTAAGGGTTTGACCCTTTAACGGCCAATGGTAGTTACATTTGAGGAGGTTATCCCAAGAAACAGAAAGTGTCTCGATGTTGCGATTATATATAATACAATATTCAAACACATCTCTTCATCTGTTCCAAAGGAGGCATTTCTCCATGCATACTGCACGCAGCGATCCATCTACGTCATAAGTTTTGGATGTTGTCGATGTTGTTCCAGTTTCCTTACCGGTATATTTTTTAAGGTATTGACCAGTGAAACATTGTTCAAACACACCACAAGGTAAACAAAACATTAACAATTAAAAGACGAGCAAACCATTTATGTTAATAATAAAATTCGTCGTTTTTATTTCCAGAATATGATTGGTTCAACTTTTCTTCTTCAGCTTCTATATCAGCAAACAGTCTGGATAAAGTTTCTAGTTCCGGAAGTGTATTATCCACGTGTGAGTTCGAATATCCAGACTTTCCATCTGTATGTGATAACGAATAAGGATACGATGAGTGTGATTTGGTGTCACTGACAGATTCGGGAATGGGAAATAAGGATAACGGTTTCTGATCAACTGGTGATTCGGGGATCAATTGCCGAACAGAATTCGATCTATTACGACCTTTCGTTCTATCACGAGGCGGGTAAACAAGTTGATCGGGATTCTGCGTGCCTCTATCTGGGGAAGTAACCGATGTATCTGGTAACTGTAAGGGAGTAAATAATGGCTGTTGTTGGCCTTTGATACGGTTTTGACGTTTTGGTTTTGGTGGAGGATTCTGAGAAGGTGGCGTCGTCGTCGTCTCTTTGTTCAAATCGTTAGACTGAAAAAGAAACCCCAAACAATTTAACACTAAAACTTATAAATTCGCCTTTAAAGTAAGTCTCGATACGAGAGAGAGAAATGGGGTTTAACGTCCACTCGACACAAACTATGTCATTTCGGGACTAACATATGGTTTAATTTTATTTCAATAATTAGTTTGCGCGTTGGGATCTTTAGCAGTGGAATTAAACCGGGGGACCAGGAGAAAACCCACGAGGTTGGACAGGCGACCCTACTCCTTGCCACGTACAACCGGGGAATCTAAACCACGCCAGTTGACTCAATGACAGGCCGTATGGTACAGCGCGCGAGTGTTAACCATTCGGTCATCCAATCCCCTATTGTGCAAGAAGAATCTTTAATAGGAATTTCAGTCCAATGATGGCCATTTCCGTTCAGTAATTTCAAATTTATGTGGAATTGAAATTCCATCGATCTATGTTGTTCGCTATCTATGTATTAACCCCACCGCCATTGTGTTGTCCGCGAAATCTTTTTTTATTAGGCCTGTTTTGTTTTAAGCCCTTTTGAATCCATGCCAGGAGATTATCTAGCTTTCGTATTTTGATTTTGTTTTCTTAGTTGATGTTTCTCGCCAGACAGGCACCATAACCATCAGAGGAGTACACTAACGGATTGAATGTCAATCTTGAAAATGAATGGTGCCCCTGATCCTTTCAAAGGGAGAACTGGGGTTTAACGTTCTTTCGATAAAAAATAGTTCATTTCGGGACTAACTAATGGCGCCTTTTATTGCAATAATTCGCTTGCACGTAGGGGGTCTGTGGCATCCGGGAGAAACCGTCCGGCGAAAACACACAAGTTGGACCAGCTATCATACAAGCGGAGAATCGAAACTACGCCACTTGACTCAATGAGGTGTTTGACCGCTCGACCCCCGGCAATCACGTGTAACAATTGTATATATATATACTTAGTCTCATAGTATTACTCTATTATTTATATTTTGGGCGAGTAATCAACTGCAGACATCCTTCATATAAGTTTCTTTCCCTGTGTATTCAACCAAATCAGTATTTACTTATTGAACACCACGTACGTGTTGCTGAAATAATTATTGTTATAACTTACGTTAAAAACTGGGTCTTGGAAAGCAGGATTTTCTTTATACAGTGTAAAATCTTCCTCTCTGCAACACACAAAATACGTAGAATATTATTTATTATAGTATTTAAACAGTCTTTAGTATTTAAAAAGGATAATTAACATCGTCTGTGACGTTACGAGGGTAACCGTCATTTCCACTGTAAACAAAGTAACGCACGTTTTATATTAGTTCGATCCAACGACTTTCTTTGGCTACTATAGCACCGTCACGTGACTCTGTTTATAAACATTTACTAGCAGTTACTTTCATGACCTCACAGACGGAGTCTTGGCCTTGTTATTAAAGTCCAAATAAATGTTGTCATTCGAGCTCTGCATTATGGAAACTATGTTAATACTAGATTGAAATTCACTGCACCATTTAACAATAAAAACCACAACATATTAGCGGGAAGAAAGAGAGAAATCGGGTTTAGCGTCCACTCGACACAAACTACGAGGTCATTTCGGGACTAACATATGGTTCAATTTTATTTCACCCATTCTCTTGTCACGTACACGCGGGGAATCGAAAAGCGTGACTGAATGGCAGACCTTATGATTTAACCCACACGCGTTAACCCATTCACCCCTCCTCCAACATATTACTTCAACAAGTGTCTATTTTAACTGTATGTATAAATATTATGTCTGATTATGTTCATATCCAGTTGCCATTTGTATTGACTCGAATCTATGAAAATGTTTTTAACTCATTGTCTATATAGGTCATCCAATTCGTTATACACTTCTTGTGCGCAAAATGAGAAAAAACACGTCTCTGAAGTTAGAAGTTTGTAAAAATGAGAATGTATAGACGACCCATTATATAACAAAACAAGAATAATAAATCAAATATCAAACACATTTTATACGATATTAAAACTCAGACATTAAAAACTCAGACAATTTATTTCTTAACACCCCCGCCCCAGTCCGTCAGCTGTTATAATATCCTGACCATACCTTCCACCCCCACCACTCTACCCCCACCCCGTCAGCTGTTATAATACCCTGATCATACCTTCCACCCAACCACTCTACCCTCAGTCTGTCAGCTGTTATATATCCTCATGATCATACCTTCCACCCCTACCACCCCACACCCCGTCAGCTGTTATAATACCCTGATCATACCTTCCACCCCAACCACTCTACCCTCAGTCTGTCAGCTGTTATATATCCTCATGATCATACCTTCCACCCCTACCACCCCACACCCCGTCAGCTGTTATAATACCCTGATCATACCTTCCACCCCACCCACTCTACCCTCAGTCTGTCAGCTGTTATATATCCTCATGATCATACCTTTCACCCCTACCACCCCACACCCCGTCAGCTGTTATAATACCCTGATCATACCTTCCACCCAACCACTCACTCTACCCTCAGTCTGTCAGCTGTTATATATCCTCATGATCATACCTTCCACCCCTACCACCCCACACCCCGTCAGCTGTTATATATCCTGATCATACCTTCCACCCAACCACCCTACCCCCAGTCCGTCAGCTGTTATATATCCTGATCATACCTTCCACCCAACCATCCCAACCACCCTACCCCAGACCGTCACCTGTTATAACGTCCTGATCATACCTTTCACCCCAACCACCCTACCCTCAGTCCGTCACTTCTTGATCAACTTAAAAATTTAAACGTTAAGACTATGATATCATTTAAACCCCGATAATATAATATTATATAATGGAATAAAATCTAACACAAATGGCTTGGGTTTAAATCATGGTGATAGAAATTAAATACCTTAAAGCAGTAAATATCAGCAGAAATGGAGAAAAATAATGGAAGAAAAGAAGAATGATTTTAAATACTCAGACCAAAAGAAGGTGAAATATCGATAAATATCTATATGTATTATAATCTACGGCTGGATAGACCGAGAAATATCTATATCTACTATAATCTACGGTTGGATAGATCGATAAATATCTATATCAATTATAATCTATGATTAATATTAAAACCAGCAATTGTGTCCCTGAAGAATTGTATTCTGAGAATACAGGGGATTAAAGCTAGGATCAGAACAGAGGCGTATAATCAGAACAGAGATCGATTAATGGGGTTGATAGATAGATCGATTAGTGGGGTTGATAGATAGATCGATTAATGAAGAAATGCTGTGTTTTAATTAAACTTACTCTAATGGGGGAAGTGACCGCCTCGAAGTGGATCCGATAAATTCCACATTTCTATGGTTACCTGTTTTTCTAGAGCCAGTAAAATATAAACCTTGTTGTATTTTGTATTTGCCTTTGCTTGGTCGGAAGAATGTGGGTTTCCATGACGACGACAATTCACTTCTGTATTCAAATATTTATTTAAAAGAGAATTAATCATTTGAGAAATTCTAACTCGTATTACATATATTTAAATTTAATTTTTTCTGTTCAGATCTAACAACTTTACTTGTAAAAATTAAGCAGGACCTATCCTTGATTTCTATTACAACCCGATGAGAAAGGTGCCAGCGCAGAGAACTTAGCTTCAATAATTTTTTCTATAAACGGCACCCCCCCCCCTCCAAAAAAAAAACCCCAACCCAAAATAAAAAAACCCCAACAAAAGTCGCTTAAAAAAAATTAACTTATAAATTCAGATAATCAATGAACTAATAAAAAATTCAATCTAACGTTGTTAGATCTGATCGAAACGTCCAATGAACAACTATAACTTGTAAAGTTGTTAGATCTGATCGAAACGTCCATTGAACATCTACAACTTGTAACGTTGTTAGATCTGATCGAAACGTCCAATGAACAACTACAACTTATAACGTTATTAGATCTGACCGAAGCCTCCAATGAACAATGTTATCACGCGTCTAACTAATCTCAATGATATAAAATAATATCTGTACGTACTTCTCCGAGTCTCTGTCCATGGGAATGAGACTGAAACAAAAATTATAAAAAAAACTTCTCAGTTAAATCTGGAAATATTTGAATACAGAGTCATGCAGGGTAGGAATGGTGACGAATTATGTTAAGTTTGTTATTCTGGTCATATTTCCATAGCATAGAAAGCCAGATTATCTATAAACAGGTGTTTTTTTTAAAAAAAAATATATAATAATTAGTTGAATTTCAAATAAAATATAAAATTAAAAGTAATAAAACATTTTTTTTCAAACACTAAAGAAAAAAAGTAACGGAAATGAAAGAAAAATAGAAAAAAATCAAAATAATTTCACCTTGACTATTTTTAAAATAAATTTCAAGAAAATGATGCGTTTGAAATTAGCATTTTTTACGTGAAATATAAAGAGAGGAGTTAGATACAGTTATTCATGCATTCACACGAGCTGATTGAAAAGTTACAAAAAAAGGGAAAAGGAATAAAGGGGGTGAAACATAAAATTTTGTATGCAGTCTTATTTCATTTGGTTTGTTAATGGCCACAGAGAAATGGCGTACACAATGGGAATTAAAACAAAACAAATAAAATACAGATTTCTTGAACTACAGATTTGAAGTTGTACACCATTTGTCTCAATTATCTTATGTCTGTGTAGTTTGTCATGTTCGAAGGTTTGTCTTGATGGTTTTGTGTGTAGTGCGGTCCTCCTGCACCTATTATTAGAGTTTTAGCCTTTCGTATTGCAGCAATCTGATTACAATACAGATCTATATTTCGTTTCGTTGTTTTTATACTTTTGATGGCCTACACTACACGGAGATCTGACAAGTTGTACTCGAAGGTCGCGTCAGAGGTCATACGAGCGGCTTTTGACCCTATGACGTCACTCATTTGGTTAACCAATCAGCATTGATGTTTCTAGTGGCTTACCCACATTTCCGTGCATGGCACGCCAAGAATTCGCCGTAACAGACCGTTTTATTGGCTAATCCCTCACTTCAACCAAAACTCCCGTAATATAACAACTCTTCCAGACCCTAGTGTAATATAGACAAGTAAATTTTGAACTATAAAACACGAAACGAAAAAGGACCTGTGTTTCAATCAGATTCGTATTGCAAAATTTCTCGTTGTTTGGTCTTACTCCTGTTTGCTCATAACACTGTATTTATTAATTTTAGGTGCTTTCCGAAATTCGACGTGGATTATTGCCCTTATTGTTAAAATTTATGACGTTCTAACTCGTGACGTCAACTGGCAGAACACCTCTTTAAAAATATTCCTATACGCTTACATTAAGAAAAATGTTCATATTATAAGCCTATACATTAAAAACCCAATGAATTAAAAAAATAAAAACCATTTTATCGACATAAATCAAATGATTTTGCCAGTAAAACATTTACAAAGTAAACTAGAATAATATTTTTAAAAAATGTGCAAAATTGATAAAATTGCTAAAATATGAATATTAATTAGATTACCGAATTTTAATATAAAACATGATCAGGATACCCAGAATCGCCACTGAAATAAAATAATATTTTCAACTCAAGATGTCACACACTGGCCATGGTCAGATGAGGACGAAAGCTTGTTACAAGAGGTCACACACTAGCCATGGTCAGCTGAAGACATTCCACACACTGACCATGGTCAACTGGGGACAAACGCTTGTTACGATCCTACGAAACGCAGTGAAACTAACGACATGTCAACCCCAATAGATTAAATGTGCATCTAAAAACCTTGATGCAACTGGTCATGACGAGGTTTATTCCCAAAACTAAACGTTTAGGAATATTACTTGTTCATTGGCTGACCTGTAATATCATAGCACAACAAAGCGCTATCTAGGATATAACCTAAAATTAATTGGTCCACATTCTTATATACAAAAACCTATTTTTTTTATGTTTTCACTATTTTGTTTTTATTACTCCTTCCTATGTAAATAACGTAATTAAATCAACCTGTCCTTAATATCTTGTATTATATATTAGACGTTGAATTTGTAATAAACAAAAAAAGCTAAGTCCACATACTTATGCCACGATAATGGGTGTAATGCTATCTTCCCACTGTCGTACGATGCGTTACGACAGGATTGTCCCTATTGATCCCGCGATCTGGTACGTACAGGATCTGTTCGGATACATTTCGATACGATCACCACGATTGCTACGACAGCTGACCTCAATATATTATGATAAGACCTGACAGGATCACCACGATTAAAACCACGATTAAAACCACGATTTCAATCGTAGCCGGAATCGTGATAGTGGAAACCTAACAGAAGAGAACGTTCCGGGCATTCGGCCACCAACTCAAATTAATTGTGATGAAAAGAGAGAGAGAGAGAGAGAGAGAGAGAGAGAGAGAGAGATGGGGTTTAACGTCCACTTGACACAAACTAGGTGATTTTGAGACTAACATATGGTTTAATTTTATTTCAATAATTCACTAGCGCGTAGGGGTCTTTAGCAGTGGGAGGAACGCGGAGGACCCGGAGGAAACCTACGAGGTTGGACAGGCGACCCTACTCTTTGTCACGTACAACCTATGATGAAAATATTAATAAAAAATCGAAACTTACTTTGGATGTCCTAGATAGAATCTATGTAACCTTGGTGAATGTCTTCTGTATCTTAAACTACGGTCTTTATAAATCTTTCGACATTGTACACATATTACTATTAGTATCAATATCAGTAAAATAAAGCCCAGAATTCCTCCTATAATAGCCACTGTCTGTCCTGTTGTCAACAGGCTACCAGTATAAACTAACTCACTAAATAAACCTGAAATATAACATAAATAAGAAATAAACTCGTTAAATAACACGTTAAATAATCCTGAAATATGACATAAACCTCCTCGCTAAATAATCCTGAAATATAACATAAACTCATTAAATAATCCTGAAATATGACATAAATAAACTCGCTAAATAAACATTAAACAAACTCCCTAAACGAAACCTTTTCTTGAACACCTGATAGCACCTGAGGTGTTTACATAGCTAGAAGGGATAAAATGGAAATTGTTCGAAATAACTTCAAAACAACTAAATTATCCAAACCATAATCATCTCTTGATGCCATCGTTAGCCTGCAATATTTAGTGGATTTGCATACATTTTGTGATGAGTAATTTAAGGTAAAATTAGACAATTAAGACTTTGTTTATTATCGTACCAACGGTATTAATGACGACCGAGGCTAGTCTAAAATTGAATTGCTACTATCTCTGCTCAGAGTGAAGTAATGTGACTGAACTTTTCAGCATATTCTGTTTTCATTATTTATTTTTTAACTATTATAGCGAAAACTGTCAACTCTTTATCTAATCTCCCATAATGTTTCTTTAATAAGTTACTTACTATATTGTGTTTTGGTTGATTTTGGTTGTGATTTAGGACCAGTTCCACCAGTATTAACCGCTGCTACTGTCAGGGAGTAGTTAGTAAACTCCTCTAGACCATCTATCGTTAGATTACCCTGTTTATCATTAACATTATAATCTGTTTGATTTGATCCGCCCACCTTCTCTATCGTTATAAGATAACCAGTTATAGGTGGAGAACACGGTTTACAGTCGGCCAACTGAAAAACATAATACACAACGAAATGAGGTTTAACGTCCTACTTTTCTGCACCAACCGGGCTATCTATCTATTTTGACTGTCGACCGTGGAGGAATATATCTTTAAAAGATCCAATGTTTGTCATGTGACTCAGTGAGTATGCCACTGTTTAACTAACCAGAAAGACCATATTTTGATCCCGGTGTTGGTCGAGAAAGTTCGTCGGGATTCTCCAGGCAATGAAAAGGGCCAAGTCGTTCGGATAGGGCGAAAATCTGGGGTCTACCCTTGTACTAACTGGCGTGCACGTGAAAGATCCCTTGGCGGTTGGAATACGGTGACGAGAAGGTATAAATGGCACTGTTTGTGCAAAATTTGCCTTCCGTATGATCGCCTTCGAATATCTTCTAAGCATATCCTATGTTAAATTAGATATTCTTAGATATAAGTACATAGCAATGAAATATAATGTGTTTAAATGACCAAATTATTTAATAAATATGTTCAGTGTTAAATAAGATTGACAAGAGTAAAAGATTATTACATACCTTCCAGGTAATGGTTATTTGATCTGGTCCTAGTGATACCAATGTTGTTATAACAGGTACGTATGTCGGCGCTAAAACACAAAAATCATAATTACCATACACATAATACTATACTAATGTCCAAAAGAAAGTATACACACTAAAAATATGACTAAGTTTTGTTTAAATCAAAAAAATGTGATAAAACTACACTGAACATGTCTCGTGCATCCAAACTCAATATTTCTAAGCAAATAAAAGGCAAAACAAATGGACATTGTAGGGAAATACCGCATACAATGGAAAAACGACTTTGTTTGAAGCAGGACGAAATGTTCAGTGTATACTTTCTTTTTGACATTATTATATTATAATCATTCTAATAACTTATAACATTATAACAATCATACACATAGTATAATCATTCTAATAACTTATAACATTATAACAATCATACACATAGTATAATCATTCTAATAACGGTACGAGATAATCCCCTGTATCCAAACATTAAATACAGAAATCTTTCCATCCTGATACATGTATTAACACATGCAGTTGTATTAAACATACATTATGACGTCACATTAATAATGATGTCATTGTATTAATCATATTAAACATACATTATGACGTCACATTAATAATGATGTCATTGTATTAATCATATTAAACATACATAATGACGTCACATTAATAATGATGTCATTGTATTAATCATATTAAACATACATTATGCAAGAGCTAAATCTGCCAATTGCACGTCTTTCTTTAGGCTTGAAATGTTATCTAAATTATTAATTAGACATTAATTAACTTATCCAGACCATAATCAACTCTAGATGGAATCGCTAGCTTGCCTGCGATATTTTCTGGATTTGAATCCTATCTGCTGCTTAATGCTCATTGATAATTAAATCAAAAATTTGATAATCGAGACTATGTTTTTTTTTTATCGTACATACTTTAGTAATGGTGATCGAGGCTAGACCCCAAATTCAATCGCTAACTTCTCGGTTCAGAGTGGATCAATTTGACTGAAATTTTCTGCAAATTCTTTTACATTAACTAGTTTTTAACTATTATAGTGATAACTGTCAGCTCGTTATCTAATCTCCCATAATGTATCTTTAAATGGACATTATCATTTTCACCCCCAATGAATGAAAACAAATGGGTTTAACGTCCTAATGAAGAAGGGCGTGCGCCACACAGTGTGCTAGTAGGGAAATTTTGTCCGGACAGCCGCGCGACGGCCTACTCTTATATCGAATTCAAACTGTAAATTTGTCTCTTATGAGCACGCCAATGGGTACACGGGACCATCCCAACGACTAGACACTATCCTTATCTGGTCATCCATCCTGCGTCACTGACAAGGGTGAACCACCCAAAAATCCCGAGGAACTTTTACCTCTTTAATAAATATCTACTCTACTTACGTTGATCTTTCATCATTGTTGGAATTTCAATCGTCTGACTTTCCTTAGACACCGCCATGTTTTTACTCTTCATTTCCACGATATATTCTCCATTATTCAGGTCATCGAACTCTACATATAAAGTCTGGTTGGTCAAGACTATAAACGACTTGAGGATGACAAAGAAAGATTGTCCAGGTGGTTTGATCTTTAAGTCGATTTGATACCTGATATCAGCTGGAAATACAGAGATAAACACGTGAAATGAAATGGATTTTAACGTTCTGTTTTCTGCACCGACTGGGGCAATAAAGATGGGCATACACCATGCAGGGTGTTATCAGGGGAATTTTGTTTTCCGTCTACTCTTCATCACGCCAACATATACACGGGACCTCGGTTTTTCGTCCCACCCGTACTCTTAATATTCTGAATTACGACATCAATCAGCCGTCCCGTCATACGATTTCCATTGTATCAACATTGTATAATCCGGCCTTCAATCCCGTACGATGTCCACTGTATAGTACTAATAATACCAACAGTATGGTTCTGTACGAGGGAGTTCAGCTTTCCTGACAATGATAGCACATTGAAAGATATCGAAGGAAATTTTTGAATATATCTTACCTGGATCACCATTAAATTGTTCAGCTTGTTCAAACTTTACTGTAATCTTTCTATGGAGAGTTTCAACTTGAACATTCAGTGGAACGGATGGAGCTGTAACAAAATAATCATCCTTTAAACTATTTTTTGTTTTTCATTCTTATTTATTTAAAAATCTGTGGTTGGCTTGATACCTTGTGTACGTGATTTGAGATTAATCCAACCGTTCATCATTAGTATTTATCTGTCCTTTATTTGTTTTAATATATTTGCATAGTTTTCTTTTTAAAGTATCATTAGCTTTATTAATTTCTGATTATTTATTCTCCAGAATGTTTTTGTAACTGAATGAAGGTAAGGTACAGAACACCATCGGGTATCGAGTCAACCGGAGTTAGATTCCATTCGATTCGCGTTTGTTAAATACTTTGGCATTTTTCAACTTGGAAACTTTTTAGCGATTATTATCTTCTGTCATAATAATCTGTTTTCAGTTAAACATATTCTTAATAAATCAAACTAGGAAAGATGGGTCTTGGTTCTGCAATCGTCCCGTAAAAATGCTAATTATAAATATATTTTTACAAGAAATGAACGGGGGTACAAGAGTTGTATGGCCCATCAGAATTCGTTTGTGAACAAATTGGTACATGGTGTGTAAAAGGTTGGCCACCCCAATTCTAGAAGTTACATATATTATCACTTACCATCAGCTAGAGTTCTTATCCTGTCCGAGACTACACTATAGCCTCCAGTATCCAGTACATTACTAATACGAACACGAAATAAATAACTAGAAAACGGTTTTAAATCGATTGCTTTGTGTTGTTCCGGTGTATCTGTTGACGTCACATTACTATTTACCCATGTAACGTTTTCACCAATCTGGTACTCTAATAAATATTGATCAACCGGAAGTCCAGTAGCGTCACCATCAGACCATGTTAGAGTTATCGACCTTGATTCAAACTGTACAGGTAGAGGTTTAGTTGGCGTACCAGGTTCTACAGAACATAAAATACATTAAACTATTCAGCATTGTGGAATGGCGTGGTTAATGAAATGGGGTATAACTTCCCACTGTTCTGCACCGACTGGACCAATGAAGATGCGCATACGCCATGCAGTGTGTTATGGGAGACATTTTGATACGGAGAGAGAGAGAGAGGGGGGAAATGTGGTTTAACGTCCACTTGAAACAAACCAGGCCATTTCGGAAATAACATATCGTTCAACTTTATTTAAATAATTCACTTGCGCGTAGGCGTCTGTAACAGTGTGTGTGTGTGGGGGGGGGGGGGCGGGTAACCAGAGGACCTGGAGAAAACATACGAGGTTGAACATGCGACAATACTCCTTGCTTCGTACAACCGGGGAATCATTTTGGTACGGACTACTCTTTTACCGACTTCCAATTGTACGACCACGTCAATGTTTAATCGGGACTTTGCTTTTGCGTATCATCCGAACCACTCTCAAATGGTACCAAAAAGCACATACTTTTCACTTTACATCATCGCTATTGTCACACTGCTTCTGCTTCTTTACAATGCAGTGGGGCAATTTTGGTCAGCAGTGGGGAATTAATTCCACCACTTACTATATTTAAAAATGTCCTGTCTCAGTCTGGAAGGACTGCCCGGTGAATAAACGTCAAACTTACTCTTCATAACTCTAGTATCAGAACCAAATCGATTCTGGACCAAGCATCGGTAGACATCTTGAATCTGTGGCACACTGACGGTAAGGAGGTTTCCCGATGTTACGTGACCAGTCACAGTTCCCGTGACACCTTGACTACCAATTAAATACGTCACATTAGGTTTGGGGATACCGGTAGTCAGGCATTCCAAACTGATGTAGGTCGAGTTCCGAAAAGTTGAAACACCAGTTATGTATGGAGGTCCTGAAAGTATTCAAATATATAGCAAAAACAAAAGAATATCTTATCGGTAGGCCTATATACGTACAGCGGGGAGAATGGCACGGGAGGGGTAGACACTGGTGGAATGTACCCCTTGGGTTTTCGTTTGCTCAGCAGATTTTGTGTATCAAATCCGGATTCCAAACACAATAACTTACGGAAGCCGTGTATGAGGCAGGAGGTGCTTCCTCCTGCTTCAACATATGGTTCAAATTACAACTTTTAACTACTTGAACGTCCCAAATAAATGTTTCAATAAGATTGACAGATACATTAAACTTATAACGAAAATTAAGTTGAACATTTTGATAAAACACAATATATTTCTAGTAAAGAGCCATGGAACTTTAAATCTACTAAAATAGTCTTGAAATCAAACCTTCAACTAGAAGCTGAACTGTGGCTTCAGCACATGATACGTCATTACACGCCACGCATTTCCAATCACCACCATCAGTTGCTGTGGAAACGGTTGTTATGGTAAGAGTATTGGTAGTCATGACGTAACCATTTGTTGTCTTGGTTATAGCAACACCACGTGGTGATCTCCATGACACCACAGGGTTAGGATCACCAGTGGCATCACATGAGAGTGTCGTTGTATTTTGATTTGCTGAGATCTGTGGGCTGTTGGTGCGCAAAATAGTCGGTAGAACTGAAATTCAGAAATTTCACTTACTTTAAATATGACTATTTCCCAATTGAAATTACTAAAATGACTTATTTTAAATTAAAATGACTTATTTTAAATTAAAATGACTTATTTTAAAACCAAACAGACGTATTTTAAACATACTATGACGAACGATGGATGTAAAACAGTAACTGTAATTGTTTATGACAATTGAAAGTAAATAAGTTTATTGAATGTATCTTACCCTGTACATCTACATATACTGGATCTGATGCTGTTTCTCCAAATTGATTAACTCCAACACAAACATACCACATCTCATCAGTTAATTGACTGTACTATAATAACATAATAATAATAATACATGTCTAGAGCTGGTTTAATATAATATGTTAATTGGCTGTTCTATAATAATATATCTTGAGTTAACTTGATGATTGGCTATTTTGTATTAGAAAACCTGCCTAGAGCTAGGTGATATCTGATAACTGACTGGTTAATAATTACAATCCATGTCTAGAGTTGTCTATATAACTCACGTATAATATCTAATCCAATGATTCTCAACCAGTGTGCCGCGAGATCTTCCTAAGTGTGCCGCGAAAGTTTTAACGGCACACTAAGAAAATGTGAACAAAAAAACACGTGATCCCAAGTGAGTATTCACTGGTGTTTACTGTTGAGTTCATAGCTGTGTTTTTTTTTATTAAATTTGAGTCATTCTATGACTAGTCTATATCTACTGTTGTATTCCGTCTGACTTACCATTTTTTATTTTGCAAAATTCAAATATTTTGTCATATATATTTAGCCAGGTGTGCTGCTATTTTTTCATGTGTTCCAAGGTGTGCCATTGGCAAAAAAAGGTTGAGAACCACTGCTAATCATTGACTGTTCTGATATAACGTTTCTGCAGCTGATGTAAATTTGTCATTATCTATGATATAACCTGTCTATACCTGGAGGTTATAATCAATATTTACCTTTATACGAAGATCTCCACCAACTGTTGAATGTATTCTAAAGCCTGTATTTTTATCTATAGCTGATATTCTCGTAGCTCTATCATCTGATTTATACCATGTTATAGTAGGAGTATCATTAGCTGTCATATTACATCTCATCACAACCTCTTGACCTTGTCCAACTGTTACATTCACTGGTTGCTCCCTCAATACTGGTATATCTGTAATAATAATACACAGAAGAATAAGAGAGAGAGAGAGAGAGAGAGAGAGAAAGAGGGTGAGAGAGAGAGAGAGAGAGAGAGAGAGAGGGGGGGTGTGTTAGCGCCCACTCGACACAAACTAACATATGGTTCAATTGTATTTCAATAATTCGCTTGCGCGTAGGGGTCTTTAGCAGTGGGAGGAGAAACCGGAGAACCCTTAATAATTCGCTTGCGCGTAGGGGTCTTTAGCAGTGGGAAGAAACCAGAGGACCCGGAAAAAACCACGTCAGTTGACTCAATGATAGACCTTATGATACAGCGCACACGCGCTAACCATTCGGGGATCCACCCCCACCCCCTGTATTAATAATACGCAGAAGAATAAGAAAAAGAAGAAGGAAAGTCATCAACACCTCGGCGCCTTTGTATACCAAAAACATAATAAAACTTGTTGCCAAGAAAGTTGTAATTGGTTCATATCTGGGATGGTTAATGAGATACGCCCCGGAACGGAATGACGGATAGATCCCATTTAAATATCTCTTCGTTAATTTCGTTGGCGATGGATAATAATGAAACAGTTTTGAATGAAACAGCAGCGTCATCCCCGAAGTCAAAAAAAAATATCTGGGTGAGTTTATAAAAATAGCTAAACATGCAAGCATCAAACGGCATAAACGTAAAAAAACAAATGGACAACAACTATAATTTCAAAATAAAGTCACTTCAAAAAATACATTTCTTAATCCAAATGCCACAATTTCTTGTGAATATGACACAGTCTGTTGTGAATATGACACAGTCTGTTGTGAATATGACACACTCTGTTGTGAATATAACACACTTTCCAGTACAAATGGATATTTTATAATCTGAAGGTATTTATCAAGCTGTTCGAACTAAGAAAGTAATTCAATAATAAAAACTACCATTACCAGTAGTAAATATATTGGCTGTAGCTATGGCTGATCCACCTTGGTTGGTTGACTGACAAACATACTGACCAATCTGGTGTTGTTTTATATCATTGATAACGATCGTACTATTCAGATATAATTTCATATTAGTATCTGTAATACAAAATAAAATATACAAATATATCAATATATACAATATTATTATGTGTTAAACATTCAAGATTACATAGTAGATGTCTTTCAAAAGTAAGGATTAAAGGTCACCGGAAAAGCGTCATAATTATTTTAAATAATGCTAGTAATTATGTCAACATACACTGTCCATAAGTATAACACGATCCCGAATGTCAATATTACCTGCCACAGGTAAATTTCAACAGGTAGATTTCCGCCATTCTCCGGGAGTAGTTGTAACTTTCCGTCCATAAACAATCCGTGGCATCATTTTAATCCTTCTGCTCATATTCTAGTTTATATTTCTATGAGCAGAAATTTACCTGTTGCAGGTAACATTAACACTCGAGGTCGTGTTATACTTATGGAAAGGATATATTGACATGATTACTTGCATTATTTAAAATAACTATGAAGCTTTTCCGGTGACCTTTAATGGAAAATGGGCCATTTTGTGGCTAATTGATTTCATACTTCAAAATGTCTAAGCCGCTTGGTTTGAGGCAAAATCCTATTTTCCAGACGGAAATGGACTATAACATCCTCAAGACACAAACTATGTCATTTCGGTCCTAGCATATAGTATGATTACCATAGCAATTTGAGAAACTGGAGTATCGGGAGAAAACGCGCGAGATTACGCAGGCAAACCTGGCCCTGACCACATGTGGTATTGGGTATTCTAGAAAGAAAATTCACACTTTGTTATAATCGTGGCAACATCTACTTAGCAATAAATGTTCCTCACAGTTCATAGATGGCTAATTTGATAAGAAACATAAACCAGACGATACAAATGGACCTGTTACAGACGCCTTTGTTCTCGAGTCTGAATCATACCAAATGAAGTCTTTAAAGAGAATTGAAACAGAAAGAGTTGTTGGCGGTACGTGATAGATGATGTGTTGCCCGAGCCATGACGATAATACTGATTTAATAAAACACATAAACCAGAAGATACAAATGATCTGTTACAGAGTCTGAAAAAGAGAATTGAAACAAAGTGTTGTTGGTGGTACGTGATGATGTGTTGCCCGAGCTATTGCGATAACACTGATCGCATACTTCTAGTACTATTTACCTATTAAAACTGTTTCACCATCTTTTAACCACTTTTGAATTGGGACTGGATCAGCTTCCGTAACACAATTTAACCTAACTGTCTGACCTAGTCTTACCTGCTGATCAGTAGGTCGAACTGTGAACCTCGGTGGAACTGTAACATACAAATTATATTAAATTATGATTATAGTTTGTTTTATCCCTTATATTGTCATACTCCTCGCAGTGTTTCGTTTGATTAGACCTAATCCCACTTAACACTGCTGTAATGGAAGTAAATTTCTGTTCCATATAATATATTTACATTACATGACTCACGAAATTTATAACTCCCAATTAACCAGTGCAAAGCAGGATATTGCAGAAAAACTAATTGCGTGACAAACGACGTTACCAAACGGCTATAATGTAAACAATAATGTTTGGAGGTGAATAATACATTCACCGTTTTTAATACCTTAAATCACTGTCCAAAGTCTTAGGGAACGCCCCTGATTAAAAGAAGGGCTGTCATAATGCTGTGCTTGGGGATAGATTTGATTGAACGGGAAGAATAGACACACTCCCTCAAAAGCTCAAGAATCAGAAGCCAATCCAGCAATGGCCTGAGAGGGATTTCTGGGGCCATTGCTTCAGGAATATGTTACAGTGTGCACTCCAAGACATTTTAATATTGAAACACCGCATAACTAACAACGATTTCCTATCTTATAATATTCCAATTATCTTAAAGGGCACGTGACTATAGTGGCACGAGCAATATTGTTATAAATTAATAAAAACCCGGCACATCCAGTCTTTGCCGAGAGTGAAAATATTATATTATGGTCAACTCCAAGATACGTGAAATGAAATGGGGTTTAACGTCCTGCTGTTTTGCTCCAAGCGGGCTAATGAAGACGGGCATACGCCATACAGTGTGCTATGAGGGAAAGTTTACTCAGACAGCGGCGCTTCGTCCTTATATCGAAATCCAATTGCCAAGGGATCTTTTACGTGCACGTAAATGTGTATACGGAACAGACAAAGGGAAACCACGTCGGAAAATCCTGATGAACTTTCTCGACCAACACCGGGATCGAACCCGCGACTTCCAGGCTAGTGAGCCAGCGTCTTACTCACTTAGCCACAGTGGCTCCTTCTCAAATACAGGGTTGAAAAACTAAGCCGGCTCTGCCCGGGATGAAAGTAGTATAACTACGAAACCGGAAGCGGTAGACCAACACCACCAGGGCAATGTTACTCCCCAGTTCTAGTTACCCCTTTCCACTAAATATCAGCCCCTGGACAGCCCTAGCATGGCCGCCAACCCTGAACAGACAAATAAACACACGACAGTCACAGATATTAGTATAGTTACCGGAACAATTTAAGCTGTTACAATTTCTAGCTTTATGAGACATATTCAGCAAGGAGTATGATACAAGACAATCTGATTAAAACACAGATCCTATTTCGTTTCGTTTTTCATAGTTCAAAATCTTGTTTTACTTCTCTGTACTACACTAGGTTCTGAAAGAGTTGTTATATAACCCGACTTCTGGAAGATGTGAGGAATAAGCCAATGAAACAGTCTGTTACGGCGAGTTCTTGGCGTGATATGCACGAAACTGTAGGTAAACGCTGATTGGTTAATCAATGTCTGGCGTCATAGGGTCAAACGCCGCTCGTATGACCCTGACGCGACCTTCCTTTACAATCGGTCAGATCTTCATTAATGAAAACGACAGAGTCGAAGATGATTCTTTAAATAATTGTAAAGTGTATCTTTGTTTCATTTTAAAATATGGATACAGTAATAATATTACCTACCCAGAACACGTAAATTAGCTATAGTATAGACTTTATCATACTCATTCTCAGCCCAACAATAATATAAGCCAGCATCTGTTGCTTCTATATTTAATATCTTTAAATCGCCTTCACTGATCAACTCGTATTTCCCATTGGATGCTATCTGTTGCGAGACGCCGTCTCTGTACCAGGATATGACAGGTTGTGGAAATCCAGCAACGCGACATGTGAAGGTGATTTCAGCATCGCCAGCCACGGCTAATAAACTGGCCGGTAGATTTGTAAACGTTGGAGGACCTATTTTCACAGATTACAAAATAAACAATGTTAAAATAAGCTTAAAGGGACAATAACACTCTTGCTGGCTTGACAGCTCCAGAAAATAAATAATAGCCTTATTCTAAGTATTAGATGTTTAAGTGTCCTACCTGTTGTGTAAATTATCCATTACATCCTATTTTACTTATCCAGAGGGTTGACGAAAATATTTCTAAATCCAAGTCACATTTGAAAAGGTTTACGATAGGCTTTTCGAATCATTAAGTTGAATTTTTCCAATTTTTTAAATTAGATGCGTAAAGATGAAATTTGTATCCTCAATTAATTGGAATATTGTAAAATTGTACAATTTGTTGACTAGAATAAAGATTGGGGCATATTATTCAGTTACAACAAGAGTGGTTTTGAGCCTTTAACAATCCGAGCATGGAATGGGTAGAACCGATACGTTGATATTGTTTCCACAAATATTGTTGTTATGATAACTCTTGTTTAATGCAATTTCTATTATGTCAAGAAGTGCCGTATGGTATGGTAATATGTAAAAGTGTCATTCTACCGTTGTTGCCATACTAATATTTTAAAAAAGTTGCCATAATAACATTATAACTATGTTGCCATAGTAACATTATAACTATGTTGCCATAACGCTGCAATGTTGTCATAGTAAAACTAATATGATTATTATATTGTCATAATAACGAACCTTGAACATTGACTGTAGCTGTAACTGTTTTAGAATCAACTGTATTACTGATAGTACAGGTATAAATACCATGATGACGACTCTCTGTATAACTAATAGTTAATGTACCGTCAACACCTAATACCATTCCTGATGTCTCCACTGATACCACCAGATTATCTTTAATATACAAAGCATACGATTAAAATGAATTTGTCCATTGCATTAGGGCTAATGGTCGATTGTGTCTGACTCTTACGGTCGCCTGGCCAACCTCGTGAGTTTTCTCCGCCCCCCCTCACCCCCTCCCTCACATCCAAAGACCCCTACGCACATGAGAATTAATGAAATAAAATATGAACCATGGTAATCTCGAAATCACCCCCGTCTCTCTCTCTCTCTCTCTCTCTCTCTCTCTCTCTTTTAAAACGCAAGTAATGAAATATTTTATTTGAAACAAAGCGACATGGACGTCGGATTTCATGTTAACTGTTTTGAAATAAAATTATTTTTTTTATCATTATTTTTAATGTATGAAGTGAAAGCAGGGTAATTAAATCAACCAATAACTCACAGCCTTTAGATTCCCTTTTTAGACTTGTCCTGCAAGCCGCCCAATTTAAGCAATCGCAATCTAATTTACTAGCTAGACTAATTGGTTTGTTATTCTGATAATAAGTTATTAAAATTAAAAACAAAACCATCGATCTTAAAGAGGGGATTTATGTCTAGTAGGTAAATAACCTACTTAGACATCCACACAGAATGTACAGCCACAGGCACTTGAAGGGATTAAAATAAAACTTCTTACTACTGTTTGACTAGTATTACTAATAACACAAGGTCAATCACCCACCATATTGTTTTGAATCGTTGAAGATATTTCATCTACTATCGTCTCACAATATTCAATGACCAATTTAATTACATTGGAAGGTGTATAATGGTCAAATAAAGTCTCGTTGGCAATAAAAATGAGTTTTGTGGGTGATTGACCTTGTGTTATTAGTAATACTAGTCAAACAGTAGTAAGAAGTTTTATTTTAATCCCTTCAAGTGCCTGTGTGTACAGCCTCTATCATAAAGGAGAAGCTAATAGCTGATGTATTATCGATTTTGTCTACGGTATATAACCTACTTAAATATCCACACATAATGTGAAGCCTCTGACATAAAGGATAATCTGATAGTTGATGTATTGTCTATTTTGTCTATGGTAGAACGTTGTAGATTGACATTGGGATTATATTTGAATGGGGTGTGTATGTCTACGTATTATTGTTATAGAGTTTTACCTGCAAGCGGCGTTTTCCAGCTGACCTCTGGTTTAGGGTTTCCTGAAGCTCGACATTTTAAAGCAATGGTGGAACCTTCCGGTATCGTCATACTTACTGGTCTTTCTATAAAAGCTGGAGCAACTGCAAACAGAAATAGTAGCTCGACGTATTGGGTGGATACTCGGAGATTGTAAGAAAGATATACAACAGGTGGATAATCAAGTTGGGTTTTACATCCTATTATTCGGCGTCAGCTAAATTAAGATGGCTCTGTTTTCATTAGCCCAGTCTGAGCAGAACAGTCGGACGTTCAGCAACATTGGTAATATCATTGAAGTCTGCAGATGGGTGACAAGATTTAGGCTAATTAGGTGAGAGAGAGAGAGAGAAATGGGGTTTAACGTCCATTCGACACAAACTAGGTCATTTCGGGACTAACATATGGTTTAATTTTATGGGTCTTTAGCAGTGGGAGGAAACCGGGGGACCCGGAGAAAACAGGCGACCCTACTCCTTGCCACGTACAACCGGGGATTCGAAACCACGCCAGTCGACTCAATGACAGACTTTATGATACAGAGCGCGCACGCTAACCATTCAGCCATCCAACCCCCCAGGCTAATTAGGTACCTTGCAGATTAAAATCGATCAATGACGTCATAACCTGGATACCTAAATATAATAATGGTCCGCCCTAATAGCTGACGTATCTAAATGTTTTATATAAAATACAAGAGCAACGTATGTTGTCGGGGAAAACTGGGTTACACATGTACATATACTTCAAACACCTTTATTTACTTTTCTAATACTTAAAATAAATGTTCTATAATGTAATTTGCAGAAGGAAAAGGGTTAATATTGGGGGCTTATTTAGGCGCATCGATGTCATCCCTATCAGTAATTATAGCGGACTATTGACTATTCACTGCTGAAAAGTGTGATGGCAAGGCAACATAATGAAAATTAAATCAATGTTTCTACCTGTTAAGATATTTCCCTACATTAAAACACGGATCGTGTTTCGGTTTGTTTTCTACAGTTCAAATGTCACTCGTTACGAGATCTGGAAGGATATTACACGAACAGTGTTCTGATTGTTAAAAGATGGGCTTTAGATGAGGTGTGCATCTAATTATAGGATACATCTATGATTGGATGAATCTTGGGTCACGTAGGTGGGCTTGGGTCTAAATTATCAGATCTATATATGTATGAATATTGAAACAAAATTTAAATTTGTGTTTTAATCAATCTGATCCTATTTCGTTTCGTTTTTTGTAGTTCAAAATTTCGTATTACTTTTCTTTACACTACACTGGGATCTGGAAGAGGGGTTATATAACCCGCGTTCTGGGTGATGTGAGGGATTAGCCAATGAAACAGTCTGTTACGGCGAGTTTTTGGCGTGAGGTGCACAGAACTGTGGGTAACCCACTAGAAACATCCATGCTGATTGGTTAATCAAATGTCTGACGTCGTAGGGTTAAAAAACCCTCGTGTGACCCCTGATGCGAAATATAGATATGTATTTTAATCGGATTGATATTTAGTTCAAAATAGTGAATTGGAAAGAATCAACTCTCGAAAATTTCATAGAATGACTAATAACTTTGACTTTATATTTAAATGTGGACTATTCAGTAGTTATTTACCTAATATATCTAAATTAGACGAACTTGTCACACGACCCTGTATATTGACAGCTTCACAGACGTAACTTCCTCTATCATTGGCTTGAATATTGGAGATCATTAATTCATCTGGTGCAGGGTAGGTAACTCTTCCAGCAGGTAAATCCCCACCCACCTACGGTAACAATACACAATATTATACAAGATTGTATTGAAACTAGTAATACTATTTATTTTATGATCAGTAGTGGAATACCGCGTTTTATCAGTGAAATAAAAGTGTTATTTCACTGGCTAGTTGTTTTTACCTAAAATGATTGTAAAATCATAAAATAAATAGAACATTGTCGTTTTGTCGTGAATAACATATTTTATTTCATCTCTAAGCAAGAAAAAGTTTTCTTGCTTCTCGATGAAATAAAATATGTTATTCACTCTAAAACGACAAATATCATCTATATATTTTATGAGTCATACGCAGGGGCGGATTGGGGCTCTCCCACGGGAAAATTTTGAAAAATGAACCCCAAATATGCGATTTAGTGGCATATCTGATTATAATCTCTGTCAAATAATATATCTCATAAATCGATTAATTTAGGCCATAACCCCGGCATGCAAGTAATTTATAACCATCAACCTATGAAATTATCATATCGTCATATTATTAATTAACGTATTATCATTGTATCGTCAAGAGTCAAGAAAATTTAACTGGTTAAAAAATGGGACTAGTTGAGAAAATTTTGACCATTTGATTAACCAGTTAGGAATATTGAATAAGTAGGAATATATACAACATGATCATCATCGCTCCATGGCCGGTCCAATACCCCCCCCCCCCCCCCATATAATGTTCAGCAGAAAAAGGGTTTTTAGACGAATTGGACAAAATTAATTTTTTCATTTTTTGACCGACCGGCCCGCGATCGCCCAATCCGCCCCTGGTCATACGTGTTGTAAACACCCGGTTTAAAGATCAAGTAAGGTATACAAGGTGAAGATATACAAGGTGCGTAGGTGATACGCTGCGTGAATGTGACGCCAGAGTAAATTGTGAATTCTGGTAAGAATGAGTTGGATTTGGGGATGTATAAGCCTATATTACCTTAATGCTGGTTATAGTTGGTGAGATTGGGGATATATATATTACCTTACTCCAGGTTATAGTCGGCTGTGGATTACCACTAGCTAAACACTGGAATTTAACAGTTGATCCTTCTACAGCCTGTTGATCTGGTGAGGTTACGTTGAATACAGGAGCCACTGGTGGACCTATAGAAATACCACAATCTACATTTAATTTTACCAAATACCATATACATTTATAGATTGGATGTTATGATTATCAACAGCCTATATAGGTCTAGCTTTAATTTTAAGAACTAATGTTAAATCTCGATAACAAAGTTTAATGCATTGATTTTGGCAAATGACAACCATTAAAGATAGGTTGCCAGGCAATGAAACAAACATTCAAAGCAGAACTCCTTGAGCAACAAATACTATGTCTTAAAAGAAAGAGGATTGTTATAGTGTACCTGTAACAGTAAGTCTGACCGTTTTCATATCCATACCCAAACTATTAGAAGCTTCACAAGTATAGAATCCAGCCAGATTATCAGTAACGCTACTAATTGACAGACTGCCATTTTCGTGTAATAGAAACTCGGATATTGTCTGAAATACAAAAGTACTATATGACACTAATAAATTATTACAATACAAATAACAAATGTTTAATCTTGCCATTTGGTTTAACGAATCCTCCTCCTCTCAATTTCAGACAAAAAGAGTAGCGTTTCATTACTTATATTCAATTTAGTAGTAACCCATCGGGATCCAAGAAGTTTCGGACGGGGGAATTTCTTGTACATTGAGCAGAATCATGCAAAAATATCTGGATACCTCGGCTCTCTTGTCTTGCGACCACCAATATTCTCACAGTTACACTCTGAGTACCCTTCTAATTGACAGCTGTTGCGTAACGATTTGGGGGGTTGGATGGCTGAATGGTTAGCGTGCGCGCGCTGTATCATAAAGTTTGTCATTGAGTCGACTGGCGTGGTTTCGAATCCCCGGTTGTACGTGGCAAGGAGTAGGGTCGCCTGTCCAACCTCGTGGGTTTTCTCCGGGTCCTCCGGTTTCCTCCCACTGCTAAAGACCCCTACGCGCAAGCGAATTATGTAAATAAAATTAAACCATATGTTAGCCCCGAAATGACCTAGTTTGTGTCATGTGGAAGTTAAACCCCATTTCTCTCTCTCTCTCTAGTAACGATTTCGTCATTTTTACCCATTTTGTATATTTTTACTGTAGATAATAAGGGCAACTTGTGTAACTGTATCATTTTATTATTTGTAAACAAAATAAATAGTTGATGCAGTGTCCAACTTATAAAATATTAACATTTTGAAATATCAAATAATACCCTAGCTTCTACACGTGCCCCATTTAAGGGTGTAAAGAACCAAGATAAAGTAGGTGGGGGTTTCCCTGCTGCTATACAGTTAAATATGGCTGATAAACCAACTGGTGATTCTTGTGGGTCAGGTGGTGTAATCAGCTCTGGACGGCCTAAAATATATATAAAAACAATCATTACAATTATATTACTCTAAAACTAAGGAAAAACTCGGCAACAGTATTCAATTTAATTTACAATGACATTATAAGCGCTGATCCAGACAGGTTGGGGGGTTGTGGTCTATCCGTGTAATACGGGTAGGTCACACTTATTTTGAGAATCTCAAACTTTTCACGATGAGAATTCCCTTTTCAGTACTCTTGTATCAGCGAGTATTTGTCTTCAGTGCTTCTTTAATCGGACCCTAGATCTCACTGGCAACTTGTGTTTTCGACTATAATAGACCCGCAGCGACTGACACAATCCCGTGTTATTGAATTACCCTAAAATAAAAAATACAGGATACAAGTCTATGGAACCACATTACTGTTTATTACCGAGCTAAATGTCATGTCTATGGAACCACATTACTGTTTATTACTGAGCTAAATGTCATGTCTATGGAACCACATTACTGTTTATTACTGAGCTAAATGCCATGTCTATGGAACCACATTACTGTTTATTAACGAGCTAAATGTCATGTCTACGGGACCTCATTACTGTTTATTAGGATTAATTTTTAAAAAAACAACAGCATGATATGACCCATAAAGAGAGAAATTTTACAATAAAAAAAACCGGAGAGTATTGGATAATGAACTGGCAATGCAATCAAAAGGATTTTCTAAAATGGCATTCTTAAATTAATTTCATGGGCGTCAACATCTTGTTTAGGCCTAGTTACCTCCTTTAGAATTTGTTTATGATAATGTAAATGACCGGATAATCTAGCCAATGACCTATTATTCTCAAATGATGATAGAGAGTAAAACTAACCTTGAACTGTTAAAAGAGCTGTAGAACTTGTGACATTTTGATTTAGCATAGTATTGGTTGCTAGGCAACTGTAGTTGCCCTCATCGCTGTAACTAACAGCTGGTATAGTCAAAACACTCTGGGTTCTTGATATCATGTTTATTGTAGCCCTGGTAACTGGGACGTCGCCTAGCAACCAAGTAATGATAGGTGATGGGTAACTGTTGATTGAGCATTCCAGGGTGGCTTGCGTTTTTACGATGACTGCAGTGTCGCTAGGATTTACGGTAAATCCTGGATCAAGAACTGCATGGAATCAAAAGAAAGGAAAATACTGAAAGCATGACTGCAAAATAATACAGAAAGATATTTATTACAGAACGTTAGTCAGGCTGTCTGTCGTGATAGCCTACTCATCCATTCACCATCTTTCCAGACCAGACTACAGAGAAGCCCAGTGACAAGTGGCATCAGGTGTTCAGAAAAGAGCAAGCATACACTTCCTCGTGCATGGCAAGTGTCCCAACTTGATCAAAATGGCCAAAACTAGGAAGCAATTGTGGAGGCAACAATGTCATAAAGAAATGTAGGCGCATGCTGACGTAGCATTCTCTACGGTTGGTCTCTGGCTTGAATTTATGTATTAACCTAGCACTTACTAAGCTCCCGTAGATCCCTAGGATAAGGAACTACTCACCAAGCTCAGATCGCTCCCTAGAATAAAGAACTACTCACCAAGCTTAGATCGCTCCCTAGAATAAGGAACTACCACTAAGCTCCCGTGGCTCCCTTGGATAAGGAACAATGGTTGCTTGGTGATTATGGTACTAGCTTATTAGCTAGGAGGCACCGGGTTCGATCCTAGTGTTGGCTTAGAAAGTACCTCGAGAATTTTTCAAGATTCGATGAAGATTAGCATGCTACATGATGTATGCTCGACTTCCTTAGTTCAGACAAGTAAAACGTTAAACTCCATTTCATTTCCTTATTTCCCTTTTTTTTCCCTTTTTAGAAAAAAAATTGAGCCTTATTTACCTGCTAGACGGAGGTTTAATGTTTGGCTTGAGATGGTTTCAATTCCGGTCGTCACAACACACATATACACCCCGATACTGGATGGTTGTACATCTTTAATTACAAGAGTTCCATTGGGAAACACAACTTGATTGTCGCTGATCGGTGCATCTGCATCACCAACTCTCCAGCTATAATAAATAATTTACAACAACTCAAACAAATTGAGTTTAGTACATATGTATATTCTCGTTTCCCGGTAAAAGCAGATGTGTAGATTTCGATCCTGGTGTTTGGCCAACAAGCGAGAGAGTTTTTTGTGATTTACGCAGCTTCTCAATACTTATCTGAACTCTTATATGACTACAACCCTATTCGACCACTTCGCTCTAAAACTAAACAGTCACTAGTTGTTCCAAAATATAACTTAAAAGTCATATGGGTATAGGTCTTTCAGTTCAGCTGGTCCTGGGGTGTGAAATGAACTTCCACAACAGATCAAGAACCAACAGACTTTTAATCAATTTAAATCCGCACTAAAGACTTTCCTGTTTCGACAGTTTTACCAGTAGAGCCATTACTAAAAGCATTTTGAGCATGTGTCATCATGGAGAAGACGTTATATAAATCCTCATTATTATTATTATTGGCAATTCTAGTTTCCACATGTCAGTGTTGCAGCATAGAAGGTAGGAAAGGAGGAGCATCTTGTCACGAAGGTCAGTATATACCGCTGACGGCACATTAAAGAGCCATAGCAGCATAGAGCGGCTATCTGGGCAATTTTCCCTCCTATACCCGGCTTCATTAAAGATACATTATGTAAGAGCTAAATGTGCCTATTGTAAGTCTTTATTCTGGTTTCAAAGGTTTTATAAACTATTATTTAGACATTTATTCACACGCCAAGTCCATAATCAACTCTCTAGAACATCGAATACTGGAGATTTAAACGGGTTAAAACACGGTCGAAATTCAATGATTTAATTCTAAAATGGCTAATCGAGGCTATGACTCGAATAACGTGTACCTTTGTTACGATAATAAACAATCTCTGGCACATCTTGTCAAAACTTCAAACAGAGAAAACATCGCTCATAATAAAGTCATGGGAATGAAATTTTCAATACATTCATCTTGCTTATCTTTTTTAAAAAATATTATTGTGGTCTGGTGGCTCAATGGGGTGGGGTGGGGTGGGGTGGGGGAGGTTCACTCACCAACGAGGAGAATTTATTATACTAAGTTTTTCCAGAGTAGTTATGGCAATAACTACCAGCTCTTTATCTAAATCTTACAATGCATCTTTAATTAGCATTGATTGATAAGGCGTTATTAAACCACATTTGATTTCATTTCAGAGCAATCTGATTAAAACACACATCCTATTACGTTTCGTTGCTTATAGTTCAAAATTTCGTTTTATTTGTCTTTACTGCATTAATATCTGGAAGAGTTGTTATATAACTCGCGTTCTGGTTGATGTGAGGAATTAGCCAATGAAACGGTCTGTTATAGCGAGTTTTTGGCGTGAGGTGCACGGAACTGTGGAAACATCAACGCTGATTGGTTAATCAATTATCTGACGTATGACCTCTGACGCGACGTTCCACTACAACTGGTCAGAGCTTCGTGTAGTGTAGGCCATCAAAGTATAAGAAAACGAAACAAAATATAGATTTGTATTTTAATCATATTGATTTCAGAGCGGATGAGTTTCCCATTTGTTTTTAGGCCTTTTGTTTGTAAGATGAAAACAATACTGTACCTGTATGTGACTGAATTAGGATCGGGTTTAGCCTGACAATGCCACCAGAACGGTTGTGAAAGCATGGTAACACCATCTTGTGGCTCTATCAGAAATTCTAAACCTAGAAGAAAAGAGATATTATAATAATGTCTCGTTATACAAAACGTGGGGCTGGACAGACAACCCTACTCCTTGTTACGTACAACCGGGGAATCGAAACCACGCCAGTTGACTCAATGACAGACTTTACGATGCAAAGCACGCGCGCTAAGAATTCGGCCATCCAACCCTCTACATAAGTAGGGTCGCCTGCCTAAAATCGTGTCCTCCGGTTTCCTACCACTGCTAAAGACCCATATGCGCAAGCGAATTATTGATATTTGTAGATTATAAAGCTATTAGAGATGTTGATATTTGATACCTTGTGAATGAATGGGTAATATAAACAGGAGAAGACAACTCCACCAATTAATCTTCATGGTAAGGTATTTATTACGTCATAATCCACGTTCTATTGTTGATTACATCTCACTTATCCTCTTTCATTATAAAACTGCTATACACATACCATTTACTTTAATAACAAAAACAAGGAGAAGATATAGTTCAAAACAGTCTAGTCTCACAAAAACAAGGTGAGAAAATATAGTTTAAAAGAGTCTCACCTACTTTAATAACAAAAATAAGGAGAAAATATAGTTCAAACAGTCTCACCCACTTTAATAACAAAAACAAGGAGAAGATGTGGTTTAAAGCAGTCCTACCTATTTTAATAACCAAAACAAGGAGAAGATATAGTTTAAAACAATGGTGTTATTTGTCTAATTATGACTATATTAGTCTCCGTTGAAAAAGAACATTTCTGAAATATGACTCCTTTGCAGTTAAATTCGAAAGGTCATGGAATAGATAATCATTCTTGACCAAACCCCCTCCCACTCCAGTAGAGATTTTAATTAAATTAGTCGCTTCATTTACGGATCACTTGACTTAACTGATCCTTTAACTTTACGGTCACTTGATTTATTTTACGGATCGCTTGATTTTACGGGTCACTTAACTTTACTGGTGATCGCTTAACTTTACTGATGAACATTTGAGTTGACTGATGATCACTTAACTTTACTGATTATCACCTGAGTTAACTGATGATCACTTAACTTTACTGATGATCATTTGGGTTTACTGATGGTCACTTAACTTTACTGATTATCACTTGAGTTTACTGATGATCATTTGAGTTTACTTTACTGATGATCATTTGAGTTTACTGATGATCACTTAACTTTACCGATGATCACTTGAATTTATTGATTATCACTTGAGTTTACTGGTGATCACTTAACTTTACTGATTATCACTTAACTTTTCTGATTATCACTTGAGTTTACTGATGATCACTTAAATGATCACTTAACTTTAATGATTATCACTTGAGTTTACTGATGGTCACTTAACTTTACTGATGTTCACTGGAGTTTACTGATCACTTGAGTTTACTGATCACTTGAGTTTACTGATCACTTGATTTTACTGATCACTTGTCGTTACCGATCCTTTGGCTTACCAGTCGCTTGACTTTACGGATTACTTGTCGTTACTAGTCCTTTAACATACCAGTCACTTGACTGATCACTTGCGTTTACTGATCACTTGAATATACGGATCAATTGACTTAATTGATAACCCCTTACTGTTCATTACGGATAACTTGACTTTACATGCCACTTGACTTCACGGATTACCTGACAGGTTAACGGTGGATATTTTAAATGCGTCATAATACGTATAAATATAACTAATGTTAATAAAGGGTGTGGTGTATTAGGTATATAATATACAGGTGTGGTTGTACTATATACTATAGGTATTGTAATTATCACAGGTAACAGATGGTCATACCTGGAACTGATTACCTTTGATCATGTTTGATAGCCAACATGGTGTAAACAGGTACTAAGGCATTTACACGGCATTAAAAACTGATCAAGAGTAACAACCCATAGAGTAATTATCAGAAATAATGAAAATGGATTTACTTCTCCACTGTTAAAGATGGGTGCAACTAAAAAGTGTAAATTTTACACCACAGCTAGTGTTTTTTTAAAATACACGGGGCAACGTATAGTCGTTCGGATGGGACGAAACCCGCGGTCCCGTGTACACATTGGTGTGTACGTTAAAAATCCCATGACAGTTGGAAATCGATACAAGAGTAGACTTTAGTTCCGTAGTGCCACTGTCCGGGAAACATTATCGTCATTACACACTGTATGACGTATGCCCATCTTCATTAGCCCAGTTGGTGCAGAACAGTAGGACGTTAAACCCCATTTCATTTCATTCTGTTTGTAAAATGTAGCACTTTTAAAAGAAATGTCCAATCTGAATTACTAGACGTCTCCTGTGCTGTGCCGTTTCCCCGGTGCCACTGATATGGGCACACCAGATAGGAAAATCCGGAAACGTTTCCAACTCGAGAATTCCTAGTTAGTGTCAGTCATTATCCGAGTCACAATGGTCCGGGTTATGTTGGATTGGGGTGAATCAGGGGCGGATCCAGGATTTTCAGAAAGTGGGAGCGTGCTGCGGACTGGCGGGCAATCAACCAAGTCACCAACCGACTCGTTTCGGGGTAAATTACGATTTCCAACCTAAACTGACTGTTAATTCCATTCCCGCGAGAATATATGGTGTAAAAAATAGGCGGGGCGTTCGCCGGGTACGCCGCCCCCCCCCCCCCCGCGTATATAGGTACAACATTTCATAAATAAAACTAGTATATCTTGAGAAGCATCGAGCGGTCTACAAAAACACACAGATATCGTCTGTAGACTGAATTGAAATGAAATGGAGTTTAACACCCTACTTGTCTACAAGTACTGGGCTAATGTAGACCGGGAGTGTGGACTTACACTGTCGTGGTTAGTGAAAACGGATATTGTTGATTTACACTGTTGATTAATCAGGGAGATTATAAAACTTACCTCAGATATGGATTAAGGCAATGAAGAAATCCAGATTAAATATTAGAAGGCCTTATAAACGAATAATATCCAATGGTGACTGGGTCTTTAGCGTTTCAACAACCACACAATGTGTCCTCTTACGGTCTATTACTCACAATATACGTATTCCAAATCTCACAGCCATAAATTACACATAAAAAACTAATCGGCCATTTTGAAATATATGTATGTATATCCAATGTTTCTTATATATAGTTGTATACAGCTCAATAAAATGTATTGTATATCATATTTATATATAATCACGTGGTCTGTAACAGGTGTTTCAATATTACTATATACCGGTTCTTATCGATTTTGCTCCCGCTGAAAACTAAAATCAATTTCCCGCCATTTGACACCACATGTTGACCCCTCCATTTATATACAACACGTGTTGATTGTGCAACGATGCATGTCGACATATCCTAATCTATTACTAACATTTTGAGGTAACCTTTAAGTGACATACTACTCCAGGGTAACGTTCATGTGACATAATTCCTCCAGGGTAACCTTCAAGTGACATGCTACTCTACTGGTAACCTTCAAGTGACATGCTTCCTCCAGAGTAACCTTCAAATGACATACTTCCTCCAGGGTAACCTTTAAGTGACATGCTTTCTCCAGGGTAACGTTCATGTGACATAATTCCTCCAGGGTAACCTTCAAGTGACATGCTACTCTATGGTAACCTTCAAGTGACATGCTTCCTCCAGAGTAACCTTCAAATAACATACTTCCTCCAGGGTAACCTTTAAGTGACATGTTTCTTTCAGGGTAACTTTTAAGTTACACACTTCCTCCAGGGTAACCTTCTGCGTGGATAAACTCCATGGGACATGCTTCCCCCAGGGTTAACTCCCAAGTGACATGCTTCCCCCAGGGTAACCCTCCATGTGACATGCTTCCACCAGGGTATCCCTCCAAGGGACATGCTTCCTCCAGGGTAACCTTAAGTGACATGCTTCCCCAAGAGTAACCTTTAAGTGACATACTTTCTCCAGAGTAACCTTCAAGTGGCATGCTTCCTCCAAGGTAACCTTTAAGTGACATGCTTCCCCAAGAGTAACCTTCAAGTGACATACTTCCTTCAGGGTAACCTTCAAGTGACATGCTTCCTCAGGGTAGCCCTCCAAGTGCCATGCTTCCCCCAGGGTAACCCTCCAAGTGACATGCTTCCTCCAAGGCTCTGGTGCTTAATGAAAGATTAATAAGTAAGTCTGGTATGAAAAGAGAGTTGATTTTTATTTCATCATGGAATGATTTGATTTCATAAAATATATAACATCACAACCTTATTACACATAAACCTTAATTCTCAGGGATCTCATTCACAAAACTGTAAATTAAAATATTTTAAGAAGGCAACCTTTTCATGAAATGAAATGAAGTTTAACGTCCTACTGTTCTGCTACTACCGGGTTAATGAAGGCATATGCCATACAGTGTGCTATGTGGGAAATTTTGCCTGGACAGCGGCACTATGATGTACTCTTACATCAAATTACAACTGACATGGGATCTTTTACGTGAACGCCAATATGTACATGAGACATCAGTTTTTCGTCCCATCCAAACGACTAGACAGCTGTTCTTGTCAGGCCCTCCGTCCTGCACCATTGATAAGGGGGAAAAACCATGCCAGAAAATCCTGATGAACTTTCTCTGCCAACACCGGGGTCGATTCTACGAACTCCATGCTAGCGATCCAGCATCTTACTCACTCACCCACCATGGCTACCCCAAACTTTTCATTGACCAGTGGGTAAAATTTATAGTAGGATTTTAACACCTATCCAATTGCAAGTGTGCATCTTTAAAAATATTTTAACTTAAGTTTTTGTGAATAAGTCCCCAAGGTGTCCTGGACAGATTACACAAGTGGTCCATATTTTATCCCAATAAAAGTCAAATTTGATTAATTTCATAAAAACATACCCAAATTTACACAAAAAATGTGTCAAGTATGTAACAAATATTGCTATCAACAGTTTCCAGTATATATGAATTTTAAAATTAATACACATTCCTTAAAGATACATTATGCAAGAGCTAATAATACAATATGCCAATTGTAGGTCTTTCTTTAGGCCTTAAATGTTATCTAAATTATTAATTTAGACATTAATTAACTTATCCAGACCATAATCAACTCTCGATGTCATCGCTAGCCTGCAATATTTACTGGATCAGAATCTGATCTGCTGCTCAACGCTCAATGATGATTAAATCTCCAAAAAGGATAATCGAGACTATGTTTTATATCGTATCCGACTTTAGTAATGATGATCAAGGCTAGGTTCAGAATGAATCAATTTGACTGAAATTTTCAGCAAATTCCCTCTACATTACCTAGTTTTTAACTATTATAGTGAGAACTGCCAGCTCTTTATCTATAACCCTAGGACTGGAAATTATTGGATATTTATATCTTCTAATAAACATAATTGCTCAGTTACACCAGATATACGTACATACACATTTACAGTCAGTAAATTTGATTTAAAATGGTTATTTTATTAGCCTGGAAAGATCAATAACTCTAACCAAAGTTACTTC